CTTTGTTATATATCAATCTTTGATCTTAATTAGTCGTTTAGAATTGATTTCAGTCTAATAACTTAATCAGATGTGTTCGTTAGCAGAACATAAGAACCTATATCTGGTTGTTCTATTATTATTACTTGGGGTTCCTTGATGATGGACTATGCTGTTTGGACTGAGCCTTCAATCTTGGTGTGTGTGAGTGAGATACATTGGTTAGCGATATCAATCTATGGTATTATGGATAAGACTCACAAATAACTTGACAAAATATTGTTACTGTTACATTTTATTGAGTGTGAATTCAACTGTTTACTTGCTACTGTGTATTGGAACAAAGATTGATATTGTTCGACGCAAGGGAGAGAAATAAGACTGCAGATGAAGAGTTTATTATGTACCAAATACAAACCCACAACAGTTTAAAACAGCATTAAAAGTCAAATCTTTGAAATACTTAAGAAACCATCTTTTACATCCAATAAAACAAATCAATATGCGACAACGCCTAATTATAGCATCCGCACATCTTTTTTATTAGTGAAACGACCTCATTTTAAATCTCTCGATATGACTTACTATACCAGTAAAATTTCGAGACTACAGAATAGTTAGCTTCAATTTGTCCGTAAAAACGATTTACTGTCATCCTTTGTTCGCTGTATTGATGCTTACTTCTGTGAAAATCCCTTAGATGTTTTTGTACCTTTAAGTATATCTAATTCTACCAGTGAAGTTATCGAGACATTAAATACTTAATAGTTATCACTATTGATTAAACTTCCATACCAGGAAATATTTTACATGCATACCATCCCCAGTAAACTTAACTGGTTTAAGCAATATCTAACTCGAACAGTAGATCATGAAACAACCTGGTACAGGCATCTCAATAGACTTTTCATACTAAATATTGCTGTTCTTCTGTGCTCTCTGTTTCGATTTTATTTTCTATAGTTCTGGATAGTTATAATCACTTTGTTATGATACTGGAAATGAAATTGAATACACTGTCTGTACCATCGACAGCAATTGATGGTTTCCGACTGATCCCTTATATTGTTATAACCCACATGAAAGATGTACTATCTATGTAATTTTAGGAATGTGATACCTTTTAGTGAGGTCAATTAGATCGGACGATGTTATCGACAGGCTCATCACTTTAGTGGCCCTTTATCTGAATCCAATTGGATCGCATGAATGTTATCGAAATACATATGTGCTGCGTTAGGTTCGTCTCCGGCGAGCTCCACACTTCGTTGGCCTGAGACCTGACTCCAAGTAGATCGTATGGTTGATTGTTATTGAATGACTGCTGTCGAAATATACATCCTAACTATTGTCGTACATTATTATCGACTTAATCCGCGTTAGTGAATGTAACGGAATTAAATAAGCTGAATACGACGATAGATTTTGAATATGTATGTTTCATGCACTCAGTGATTTGAGCAAGCAATGAAAGAGACGAAACAAAAAGAAAAGAGTGAAGTGAAATAGCGTGCTGTGGAGAAGGCACGTGAACCAACCCCATTTAATCAAGCGTTCATCAATATTCAAAGTCACTAAAAAGCAAGCCACAGACATGTGATGAGTAGGATAAGATGTATACACACATACGCTCATACAACAACAGTCAAAGTTGATAAGCGAATAATTAACAAGGTCAAAACATAACTCACGAAGAATGGATAAATTGGCCAGTCCAGAAGCTAGAATAAGTTATGTGGGCTTAACATAATAACCGACACTACAATCTCAAATGGTCTAATATTATATATAGGTTTTTTATGTTTACTACATTAATCAGTCAATAATTTAATGCATATAGACAAGTTACAGTATCACCAGATTGAATTCTGTAACTACAAATATAAATAAATTACGGAGTTACATCATATATCACAGTAACTTGTAAAAATATTCGTACACTAAATGGCTGAATATGAGCTCATAGCTCGAAACAGGATCTCGTTCATTTCAGAATACTGAACGGATATTTCGGGATTAATGATGAGTTAACTAGAATTTAAGATTTTTTGTTTAGTCAGAAAATCATTTCATTTGGCTCAATAAAACTGACGTTTTATACAGTAAATTTAACATATCTCCTAGCACCACAGACATAACGGTTGACTAAAGATCGACTTTAAAATAAGTAGAGTTTGATCAGTTTACAGAGCAGTTAATATATTTCGGTTGTATCTTGCATAACTTTGGCGATGGCCGACACAAATTATAGTGTTTTAGAAAAGAAAACCGTGTTACAGAACAACATTCCCCAACAGTCACAAAATCTTATGCTAGTTTTTTTTCTTATTTCATTTTATTAAAATAAAATAAAGAGTATTCAAAGAACAGAAACGTGAAAACATGAGTTATTTTCTGATCACTTGTTTATTCACTTCATAACCTTTTTGACTATTTTCATCTACAGTGTTCTCTACATTAATCATACATTCTGAATTATTAATTCTAATAACTTCTTTGTGTATTTCGTGAACGTTGTTATGTTTGGCTTGGAACTTGTTTATGTTTGTAGATAAATCTTATTAAAACGGATGCTTTTCTTTTCATAAACTTACACAAAGACAATTATTGGTGTTATTATTTCCATAGTAGGCTACTCAAACCTCTATTTTGCTCCATTGTTTTGATGTACAATGGATATTTTTAAAAAATGATTAAAATTTGATATATATAACTCAGTATCCTTTCTAAACGGTAAATTATCATTACCATTGACTTTGATATGTTATATCAGTTTTCTGCTCAGTAAAACAAAACAATATACTTTTATTTACATATTTTACATATAAGTTTATGGTCATAAAAACTTTGTCCGTTTTCCGCTACTCATTTTCAGATGGAAAGATAAATGTTTCATGTTCGTTTAAATATATACATAGAACAATAAATGAATTGATTTATTTCAGTCTACAATTTAAACTATACCCGTGTCGTACTCTATTTCATTATTTCCTTCCAGAATACAGTTGTTTTTTTGTTCTAAGATATTCCTTAATCTAACCTATATGTTGCATTGGTCTCTAATAGGTCTTTGTGTTAAAGCTCATTGAAAATCTTTGGAAAATGACTGGTAAATGTGATAGTTAATCATTGTTTCCGACAGATTACAAAACATTTTTAGTACGTCATTTCTATATTCTTTTTTCCAACTGAACCAAAATAAAAAATCTCATTATTTTGGAATACTTTATAAGAATTATTACCATGTTTTGAACGAAAGGTGTTGAATTAGTTAGGCTATGAGTGTACCAAAGACGTTGAAAATAAAGTTTCGTTTGGATAGACCTTGGCGTTTTAAATTTAATAGCTTTTATGTTTTTGTTGGAATTCATTTTCGAGCTAAACTTCAAACAGGATTTGAGTTATGAAACATTAATATATCTCCTAATGAGGAGCTCAAATAAATAGCCACTTTCTAAATTATCTATAAAACAAAGTTCTGAGAGCATTGGTATTTATAATTTATAATTTAAGGTTAAATTTCTTAGAACTTGATTTTACTCATTTATTTATAATACAGCTACCGCGAAATGAACCGACCAGTCATTCTTGGATTGGTCACAGGTTGAAATTTATATAATGAGATGTGGTTACTAGAATAAATACCATGTAAAACACTAACTTTACAAGATAATAGAAAACATTTAATGGTTTTATGATAAAATAGGAATTGGGTGTTTAAGAAAATTTAAAAACGATCACAATTAAATTCAGTAGTATCCAACCAAAAACCGGACGTTATATCTTCATGAAGTCATGGCCTTATATATATTAATAAAAACTCGTACCACTTTGATAAAACGGAAAATGTAGTCAAATATTAGCTCAGACATCTACTTGTCAATTATTTAGTCAGCCACATTGAGTGTTCAATATATTCAGAATCAACATTTCAGTTGTTCCTCACCTGACGTTAACGACCATTAAAAAACAATCTGTATTCAAATAATAATTTCTTGCTTGTGTTTTGATTTGGAACTATTTCGTTCTCATGAAATAAAGTAACTAGGATTCCAAGATATATTGGTCCACTGTTAATATGGCTTTAAACTTACGTACATGTGTCCATAACAGAGATTGCATCACACTACTATAAAGAAAATTAATTATGGACAGTTTCATTCAGGATTCGTGTAACCGATATAGCTGCTCAATTGATTTATTTTCATACATTACTCAGAATTTGTTAGGTTAGATTTTTAAATTTTTAATTATCTATTAAACAGTCATAATTTTGTTTCAAGTAAATAATTAGAGACGTCAACTACACATTTGATAAGTTATATTGAGTAGCATACTTAAAGAAAAAGAAAGTAAACATTTATAAGCAAAGACGGATAGTGGCTAGCATTGGAATCCAGGACGCACGTTTCGTTCTATTTGGGACTCGTCAGCTGGATGTGCCTGCACCCCATTGCCCAAGCAGGTGGCTATCAGGACTCAGTAACTGAGTGGATAGTGCGATGGCATTTGAAGTGAACGATATTGGGTTTGAGTTCAGGAGTGAACATCAACTCTGAGATGCGGGTACATCCAGATGACGAGTCCCAAGTAGGATGAAATACGCGTCCTGGATTCCACTGCTAGCCATTATCCATCTTTGCTTAGAATGCTTATGAGTTAAGGCAATATCGAGGCAGTCAGCACAGCATGCACATATGCCAACAGGAGACTGATCAATTGCATTCCTAAATAACAATGGGAGGATACAAGAGAACAATACCAAGTGAATTAAATTAAATGTTTATTCTCATATGTTACAAAAAATATATAAAATCCGTTCTGTGCATATTAATTCATATAAAATAATTGAAGTACGTCAAGTTGTATCAGTTTTTTTAATTATGAAAAGAAATAAATTGTGAGTTATGATCTAATTTAAAAGGACATGAAAAATACAAAGGTTGTAATATTTTCCTCCATTACCTCCTCAAATATTAAAAGCTAAAAATAGTTAGAACAAGAGAATATCACATTTAACTTTAAAATTCAATCATATCTTGTTGTAGAAGACCTGTTTTCTCTGACGAAAGTAAGTTTGATTGAGGCCCGCATTTACGATTCAAAAGATACTGACGTGAATGCTTTTCAAGCGTGTCTGACCATTTATCGTAAATTTCTGAGTTTATGTCTATAAGTTACAGAAAGAAACAGAGACAATACAAACTTTTCTAAAACGGTTAAATGATTCAGTTTCACATTTATAAGGAACGTTCAACTTAACGTTAATATATGTGACAAAAAAGTTGGTATTAATAAACTGTAAAACCTCAAGGACAAAGATGATTGATATTAAATTCCATAAATAAATAAGCTCATATCAAATACTAGCTCCATTCAGTGGGATTAAAAGCAAAAGAATTTGACAAAATAAAATTGAAGAATGAAAATGAAAACAATATTCACAAAAAGAAATTTAAGCCGGCAATTTTCAGATTGATTTTATTTCAAATACTGTGGTTCAATGTTAATTTGCCAAACACTGATGCTTTGTATTCTTTGCGTACTTAAATGTCAAACTTAGCGAATCATCTCCACATAGAGAGGTAAATCTCTCAACCCTCCCAACTTCAACTGATTTAAGTGGAACGTACTTTGTTTACCAACATTTTAATATGGTACACTCACGCTGAACGTAATGTCCTTGAAAATATTATTTTTTATTGTTGGATCTTTTTACTTTGTCTCAAACGAAGCTTATAGGCAATTTGATAATGAATATAGTTTGAAAAATGCCGTAAGGTTTTCTTATTAAATCATAAGTTGACTCGTACATCAAAATCATAGTACATTTATGAAAGGCTAATTAATAACAGAGTTTTCTTTCATTCACACATGATACAAATAAACATAAGTTGATGGACAAGGTAAAAATTTGGAAGTTATCGGAAACTCATTTACTCAGAGTGGTTGTTTAGTAATGGAGTAAAAGTATAAGTGAATTATTTCAATGTACTTATTGCTTATTCACCTAATTAATCTTGAATGCAGACAGCAATAGTTTAACTCACACGAGTATGACTACTGAATAGTTTTAAGTAGTCACACTTGTTTACATACATTTATAAATGCATATTGCTATAAAATAAACTATGATTATTACTTACTGAGGTTTGAACCTCAGCAATCACTGAGTTATATTTAGTGACGTAACTTTCCAGTCTTTGATATTGTGAGCATACTTGATTTTTAATCAACCATTCAGCTTTTCAAGTGAACTGTTTATCGCATTTACGGCTCTGTATCTGTTCATTATCAAAAAATACTCTTATTATTTGATAGATTATTACTCTAGGTTGTTATTTTTTCATGAAAAAAGTGATCTTTATAAAGTTTCCGTCCTACCCTGCCGAATCGACATGAATTGACATTTCGTTTACTAACTCCTTAAATCCTGTGTAAACAACTAAAGTCATCAAAAAGCATTCGCATCGTCGTCTTTCAATTAACATTATAATTTAAAGGATATATCACTACCGCCTTTATAAAATTCATTTGAAATCAAGAATAATACGATAGTAAATTTCAAATTCTTAAGACTGAACTACAATGTAAGATAATTTATCATACCAATACATCCCTATTTTCTATATCTTTACTTGTAGCAAATCTGTTGAACGTGAATTTGTGAATTACAGTTAAATTATTTGGGATGTAATATTTATAATTTATCATGTGTGTATACGATTGTACATCTTGAAAATTATTCCTTCGCTGAGTAAGTTGTTTTATGACTTAATCGGTACATTTAAGTTAATAATAGTAATATTATGTTTGTTATATCCCTATAAGCAGAAAATTGAATTTATGACGTTTCTGAACTGAATATGAATCGCTTCTTTAACAGATAATTAAATAATCAAATTAAATCAACACTTATTGAAATGGGATAAATCAAAATATTTAGTACAGTTAAAAGAGATATGACCTTGGCAATATTAATTCATTCAAGCAATAGGTGAGATGGAATGTGTGCGTATTTTAATGGCACTAAATGTTTTGATCCGTTACCCTGTACAGTTTAGCATAGTGTTACTTTAATCTGATGATTTGTTTAATAGTTGAATTCGTGAGTTGGTGCAAGCTAGACTACCACTGAAAACCTGAAAGCACTGAACGGCCGTTTCCTCCTAATATGGGACTCCTCTAAAAACCTTCATCCTAATTTATTTATTCCCTAACGAAGCGACCTACACCAAGTGGCGAAACGTCAATAATTTGATTTTAGATTCACTAAGATATTACAAATGTGGAGAAGATTTGTAGCTCAGGTGGATGATTTTGGTGGAGTTTTGTTCTCTGAGCTGGATGGTTTGGTCGTGGAGCTTCCATCGTTCTTCTGAACGACATCATCACTTTTATTCTTATCCAAGGATTTCAGTATATGAGGATTGAATTCGATTTAAGATTTAAAATTTTAGAATGATTCCAGGCTGAACAATTGGTGAATGAAAAATAAATGAGTGCGACTGTGACACAAGCCTATACAGACCTATTTCTTCTAAAATATACGATACATAAATTGTGACTGTTCAACAGGTCTCATTGAAGATGTATTCATTTCCCCATACTGCCTAGTTGAGGAGTTAATGACTTTGGGGGTTTATAATGTTGTCTTGAATTAGGTTTCCTAAGCGTTCTTCCAAAATACTCCCGCTTCAGCAACGATGGTATCCCAAGGTGAGTCTAACGCATATCTCAAAACGTATCAGTCATCGAAGATCTATTCAACCAACAATAGACTCTCAGTTTACAACTAAAACTGTACATCCAACTTCATTGTTGCTCACTGTGACTAAATTAGATGAAACATGAGTTGAGGATAACTGTGACCAAATAATTTCAACCTACACATGTGTTCTATTAGGGAAACGTTACACAAACAATTATTCACTCAAAAATCTCTAGATTTTCAACTCACCTGAATCGAATGCTTCCAGTGACTGTTCTACAGTTTTCAGAGTTTGGGGTTTACTACCCAGTACAAATCAGGACTTGTGACTGAATGACGAGGAAAGGGTAAACGTACTAAGTCTCGAGTTTTTTATTTCTAAATTGTTTATGAAGTATGAATAGCAGGGAATTCCATGCGATCAAGTTAAGGAAATTCGTTAACCATATTTGTCTCCCCTTGTCTTAGCATCAAGTCATTTTCTCGTGAAATATTTTGTGATTTTTTTTAACAGTCTTATATTTACTAAAATGATCTATTAAATAAGCAAATTTTCGTCCTAAGATACATTTTTTCACGACTGGATAAATGTTCACACAAATAACTTCCCTAATGCCTATGTGCTACAAGAGATATTAACTTTCTAAATTAAAGCTTTTTTCACAATTGACTATTATTATAATTGTACATTTAATTTATGTCAGTCGATATAAAGAATTCAAATTGGGTTTTTTCATAAAAGTGATTTTTATTGATTCCATTTGTTATATCATCACTTCATCAATAAGTTTCATAACGAATGGCCTTTTCTTCTGGTACAAAACGTTTTGGATAGTCTTAAAAATCTGCAAACGGCCAAAAACATCAATAAAAATAACGATGCTTTGTGAGTATCCATATTAAAAACTTGAAATAGTTCAGTTTTCCTCTTTATATACCCATAGTTATATTCATTGTAAAAGCTGTGTTAGTCTTCCTGGTATTTAAACTATATAAGTAGTTGTTTTAATTCGTATGCCTTGGCATACGATAAATAAATTTATTGACCTATGAAGGAACAGAATTAATTCAAGTGCTAAATTCATATATAACTAAGTATTCTCTAATTTACACTTCCTACTATAATCTTAGTGTTGACATTTTCCTGTATGCCGTGGATGAATAGCGTTGATGTAATTTATCGTTTTAGCCTTACTTCAGTTCAACTATTGTTCCTATTAGATTTTCTCAATGTAAAAATATTTAGTTGGTGCATCAAGAACAGAAACACTAAATTAATATGTGATGATATTTACTAATAAGTCAAAATGTAAAATGTTGAATATTTAACTCAGTAAAACGTTGTCCTTTATGAGACAATCCAATTTAATGCCTTTTAATTATTATTAAGAGTTATTTATCAATAACATTATTTGACGGAATTCGAGATTTTAACGCGCGTATTCTATTTATTTCTTAATAAAAGTTCCTACCAGTCCTATGTGTTGAGAGATATTTAGTATATTAGTTCGAGTCTAAAAATAGTTGTAGAGGTTTGAAATTACGCATAAAATAGATTTTGTAGTACGTTGAATAGATTTTATAGTATTTCAGAAAATATCTATTGTTATTTGGTTCATCTTTAGTAGTGTTGAAACTTTGTGCTACTTCATGCCAAAACACTAATTTCAAATTCATCACTCATATTATTGAATCATAGAATCAGCTTACAATATTTTACAACGTAAATGTCCTGTTGAGTCAAACAAATAGAAAATAAAGACAAATGTCAACCAATGATGCTTATTGATACATAAGTAGCTGAATAACGTATGACAGTGAAAAATTAATGACTAATAAAGTGTCTGAAAATTTAGTGAAACAATGGAAGATTTATTGTGTTCTGCATATTCCTAAAGATTATTCAATTAACTTCAGTCTACGATACTGAGCTTATTAATTACTACGTTTCGATATTAAACTGAATGTGCGTTTTACTTGTGCATAATGTAAAGATTTTAGTTCCTTTTATAAATTTTGATAGAACAATGAGATGGTAATTATTTGCAAAATGTAATGTGTTTGCCCCCTACATTTCGAACGATTTGATCACATATAAACTTATCAAATCATGTTATATGGAAATTATTAAAGGTCAATTAAATGAAAGTTCAAGCAAACAAACCGATTTTATGTTGAATTATCGTTTCAAATTCATTAAATACTTTAATCTGTAGCTAGTAATGGAATCCAGGACACGCGTTCCGTCCTATTTGGAACTCGTCACCTAGATGTACCTGCATCTTAAGGTTGATGTTCACTCTGACTCTCCAACACAATACCGTTCGCTTCAAACGCCATCGGGTTATCCACTTAGTTACTCCTAGCCACTATCCATCTTTGCTCATAATACTTGTGAATTAAGGCAACACCGAGGCAATACGCACAGCATGCACGTATGCCAATAAGAGACTGATCAA